GACACCACCCATAGAGGGGAAGTGTGTTCCAAGGTCATGTTTAGTTTATTTTTCTTCATAACATATCTTTTTTTCAGATTTTTTTGATTTTTTTTTTTTTTTTTTTTTTTTTTTTCGGGTCCGCGTTCGGCCCGAACGGCCGAACGTATCCCCAAGGGGTCCCATACGTTCGGGCGTTCGGGCTCGGGCGCTCGGCCCGTCCCGAACGCCGGTTACCCTGGTTATATGTGTATTATATGTGTATTTTGGCCGGACGCACTGGTTGGAACAAAGGCTTGTTCTGGAGAGAGTCTACAACACACACGAATCGCAACTGCAAGGTGCAATGCGGAGCACCGTTTGCTGTTAGGGAAATTGGGACTTAGTCGATGATGATGATGAAGAGGAGGAGGAGGAGGAGAGGGAGGGAGGGGGACGGGGAGGGGTTGATGGTGGTGATTTTCGGCTCATATTCTTCCAACAAGGATGATGGGAGGGGGAACGGGAGGGGTTGATGGTGGTGATTTTCGGCTCATATTCTTCCAACAATGATGATGGGAGGGGGAACAATGGGGTGACTTTTCCCGCTTGATTGGGCGCTTTGTTGTTTTGTCTTGCGATGAGACTGTGAGTGGTTTTCGCATGAAGAAGAGGGGGAGGAGGGGAGGAGGAGGAGGAGGAGGAGAGGAGGGGTGTAATGGTAACTCATTTCTGTTCGATTGGGTGCTTCGGGCGGTCCTGGTGTGGCTTTCGGTTCTTGTATTTTCAGGGCGGTCCTGGCGTGGCTTTCGATTCTTGCACACCGGAACAAGGATGTCCCTGTCGGACAGCCATTGGTGTCTGTTGCTGATGTGGCGAAGAGCCATTGGGCTGCGTACGGAAGGAACGTCTTCAGCCGATATGACTATGAGGTCAGTCCGTGTCCTTTCTCTTTGTATTTAACCGTTTTTTTTCCACTTTTTTTCAAGTTTTCTCTTTTTCTTTTCTTTCTCTTTTTCTTTTCTTTTTCTTTTTCTTTTGCTCTTTTGGGGGAGGAGGGGTTTAGGATATAACTTAAGATGACGGTGTTATGGAGGGGGGGAAGGAAGAAGATGACAAGTGAAGTCCGCTTCTGGGGGTCCCTTCCCATAATAGCCGGACACCATGCGGTTACTATTCCATAGGCAAGACAGATGGAGAGTTTGTTATCGAGGTAAACCACGTACTGGATGCGGACCTGGACGTGAACCTAGACCTAGAAGTGGACCTGGATGTGGACGTGGACCTCGATGTGGACCTGGACCTGGACCTGGACCTGGACCTGGATGTGGATGCGGACATGGACCTGGGATGGACCTGGACCTGGACCTGGACCTGGATGTGCATGTGGACATGGGTGTGGATGGGGATGTACATGTGCACCTGGATGCAGACATGGACCTAGATGTGGACCTGGACCTGGACCTGGACCTGGACCTGGATGTGGACATGGACCTGGGATGGACCTGGACCTGGACCTGGATGTGGATGCGGACATGGACCTGGACCTAGACCTGGATGTGCATGTGGACATGGGTGTGGATTGGGATGTACATGTGCACCTGGATGCAGACATGGACCTAGATGTGGACCTGGACCTGGTTGTAGACCTGGATCTGGATGTGGACCTGGACCTGGACATGGATGTGGATGTGGACCTGGACCTGGACGCGGACGGAAGAGGGCGGCAGGCCAAATAATGGACAAGAAGTATCTGTTGCTGTGTTATGTAACTTTCCTTTTTTTTTCCTGTTTTTTATCAAATTTTATGTCATTTAGATAATGTTTCGTGTTTCCTGCTAACCATGATGATGCGCTCGGTGGTGGGTGCCTATGGGGAGACTTCACATCAAAATTTCAAATATGTACTACCATCTTCCCCCGAACACAAATGCACCCTCATTTTGGTTGTACCTCGCCGGAAATACAGCTTGTGTACATTCATTATCAGGGTGCGTTAATTTCGGGGGGAAGACGGTAAGATTTAGGTATCACCATCGCCTCGTCTCAGCCCTCCTCCTCGATCCTGACATTAAAATTGCTGAGTTCGTCCTCTTGTTCTTCGGCCCCAAAGCTTCTCTACCGACAAAAGGTCACAACAAAAGTCTATTTCGTTCACAGTGTCGTCTTTTTTGGGTGTTTTTTTTTTCTGTTTCTTTTTTTTTTTTGTTTGATATCATAAGTATGATCGAAAAGAAGTCGTTGAAATGTTTCCTTGATGGGGGAAAAAAAATAAAAAAAATAAAATAAATGCTCATTGGCGGATGATTGGCCAGTATTTCATTCATACACACGGTGACTGGCAAACGCATAGCAAGAGCAGCTGCAGCGGCTAAATGAATCTGCACATACCCATCCCAGCATGAGCCCCACACGGATTCGAACTGGCGACCTCGGCTTCAAGAGCCAGGCAAGAGACTATGGGCCTCGCTCCACTACGCAACTCTACATGCATTTGGATGCTCTGTGGCCCTGATATATTCAGAATGTTGGACTGGATAGTGTGCACCTGGTCCAGAAAGCGTCCAAATGCATGTAGTGTTGTCTAGTGGAGCGAGGCCCTATGTGCACGGTATCTTGCGAACAGGATCGGGCAGAAGTAAGATCTGGGAGAGCTGTATCGTATCAAAGAGCAAAGCCAGAGAAAATCATGGATCGAACAGCATGGATGGAGATGAGAGGTGATCCGAGGGCAATGTACATGTGAGAAGAAGGCAAATTGATCTAACCCGGAGGTCGGCAGAAACGTAAGGGGTGCATGGGGAACTCGCTTATGCAGCAGACTGGAACGGCAGGCTTTGTACGCCATCATCAATGGAGCCTTGCAAAGCACTTCAGCACGGCGGGAAATGCGAGAGAGGGATCGCATAGCTCCCATTGACGTCTGCCGTGACGCGAGAGATCTCAGGAAATGTGTTGAGCCAGGATGCGAGGTACGCGATGAAGGGATGGGTAGCACGATTGAAAGCATTTGGAACGTAAGCGGAGCTAGTATAGAACCGATGAGGGGGCATCATGCTCATCAAGCAAGCAAGCGAGCGGATTCTTTTCTTCCCCTGATGATGATGCCGCTGCCGGCCCAACAGAAACATGGAGGGGGCATTTCCAGTTGCTCTTATTATCCATCTCCTCTCTCTCTCTCTGCTTGATATGTATCTACTCTAAGCACCACTGTTCGTTGCATCGGTACGTTGGTCCATCCCGTTGATGTGCGTTAGTTGTTGCGATGGTCCGAGTTCCTTCATGCTCTGCCGCGGTGTCGCACCATCATTTCCTATCTCTGGACTTGAATCTGCTGGTTTGTATCTTTATAGAGCCCCATCATCGCCACATTGCCCCTTTGGTGTGTGCTGTCGATGTGCATCAGCTGAAAATATGATTAGACAATATATTTCCTCTCTGCCTACGGTTTACCGGGCAGTTCTATTTGACGATATATACAGGGTAACCGGCGTTCAGGACGGGCCGAACGCCCAAACCCGAACGCGGACCCAAAAAAAAAAAAAAAAAAAAAAAAAAANAAAAAAAAAAAAAAAAAAAAAAACGTCATCAAAAAAATCTGAAAAAACGATATGTTATGGAGAAAAATAAGTTAAACAAGATTTGCCTGAGCATAACATCCAAATACCTTACCAAATTTGAAATAAAAATAAAATACGAAAACCAAATACTAAAATAAACAAGACCTCCGTACGTACGGGCTTTCATATATCATATATCATATTTCATATTTGAAATATCATATTTAATATGTTGATTGTTCGTCGTCTTGTAGGAGTGTGATGCAGATGCATCTAACCAAATGATGGATCACCTGCGGGAGATCATAGCGAAGAGCACACCAGGAGATCAGTTTGGAGATGGTAAGCGAGTCCGGAGTCCACGCATGTGATAAAAATTGTTTTTTTTTTTTTTTGGAAATAGAGAAGTGAAAGATGGCCTTAGAGATATCTTCGTCGAACTGACATGCCCAGGTAATTCATCTAGTTCCATTCAGATTCGAACACAGGTCTGTTTAACAGTTCATCTGTGTACCAAGTGAGCTACCATTCTCTTTTCTTAAGTTTTTTTTCTTTCTTTCTTTCAATCTTGTGGACTTGTGAAAATCATTGAATGATTTGAAATGTTGAATTGATTCTGTCGGTCGGCATATTCCTCGCACCATTCTCATGCTTCAGCTGTCTAGAATCAACCCAATTTTATATTTATTATTTTGATAAGTGTATAAGTGTATTCTATTTACTACACATCTGCTATATTCTGACGTATTTCCTTGCAGGGCGTCCGTTAAAAACTTAATAATTAAAATTGGAATGATACAGAGAAAGGATTTTAGTAAAATGCCCCTGTGCAAGGATGACATGCATAAATCGACAAATTATCCAATTTTTTTACCCGGTCGATCTTGCCAGTAGTCATATGCTTGTCTCAAAGACTACAGTCTTCCCCCGAATACAGCGTACAGTCATCATCGCAGAATTTAGACTGAAAGATGCACCAAATTCAGCTATAATGACCGTACGCCGTATTCGGGGGAAGACTGTAGGCGATGCACGGCCTTAACTGTGAACATATTGATCAGGGGAAAAAATAATAATAATAATAATAATAATAATAATAAAAAATGATGTGTCTCACTCATGTGCCATTTTGCAAGTCATGTTCAATTTGAGGGTTTAGAGAATCCATTCCTGTTGTAGGCTACCAGCCAGGCGGGCGGGGTCACCTTGTTTTCCTGGGCGTCCCGGCGGTGCAAGGACCAGGGTCCAGGGAAGGTCCCAGCAAAACAAAAAAGAAAGAGGAAAAAAATCCCAAAAAGTCTGGAAGAGCAGTAAAAAAAATTATGTTGTGCAGAAAAATAAACTGAACAAATTTTGCCTCAGGGCCGCGTCAAAATTCCTTACCAAATTTGAAATTAGAAATTTAAAATTTTAACTAAAACTTTTTTTACTTTTATTTTTTTGGCCCTGCTGGGCAGGTGGTCCCGGGCCCCTCTTTACTGTTCGCATTACTATTCGGATTTGGATTCTTCTTTGAAAAAATTGTCTGGTTATTCCAGTATATGGAAAACTGATGTAAGCATATCCCCCTAAACTGTTCACTACTAGAATTCTAGTGTTGTTTGTCATATCATACGTCTCTTGTGATCATTTGTCATTGGTGAGGGTCGTGATGAGGAGGAGCAGGAGAATGGAATCAAAGAGTGTGCGAGTGGGTGATCTGGGGACTGGCAGTAGTGTTGTATCTATTTGACTTAATGCCGACAATTGGTATCTGTTAATGCTACTGGATGTCATTGACGAACGGCGGTCTGTGGTGTGATGTCCAGGTGCGTTCACTCTGAAGTTGGCGGACGACTTCACTTATGTTGATCCGGTACGTGTCCGCCTTTACCAATTAGCCAGGGGAAAAAAAAAAAAAAAAAAAAAAAAAAATCTCGTACGTTTACTACTCAGTGCTCACTAATTAGGCGGAAAAAAAA